GCCCCAGTCGCAGCCCCAGCCCCAGCCCCAGCTTCAGCCCCAGCCCCAGCCCCAGCCCCAGCTTCAGCCCCAGCCTCAGCCTCAGCAACAGCAGTGGCTCTATCAGTTGATTCCACAACAACAATTTCAAGAACCCACAACTTCTCATCCCCAACAGCCAGTGCCACAGGGTTCTGTACAAGGTTCAGCCAGTCAAAACATGGCCTTATCTGCTCAGCAAGCTGTTGTCATTAACCTTAGTGGAGTGGGAAGTTTTCTACAGCCCCAGACAGCTGTGTTATCTCAACTTGGCTCTGCCCAGAGAAGACCTGGGCAAAGCCTTCCTCAGCAGAGAGCCCAGCTCTCCTCTGCCTTGCAGCCGCAACTGCAGCCACAGCCACAGCCACAGCCACCGCAGCAGATACAATGGGGAATCTTGCAGCACCCAGTGGCTGTGGCAACAGTAGCAGCCCAAACAGGTCAGCCACATCCACCTAGTGAGCATACAGCAAAGCCAGCCAAAAGGTAAAATGAAGAGAGGCACACAAATCACTTGAGTGAGTGATTGCATTGAGTCTTGCATTACTTTTTTTCTCTTTTTAAAAAAAAACACAAGAGCACTGAATCAAAGGGTTTCTAAGTTTTTACTTCATTTTCGTCTTTAATGTCTCAATATTTTACATTGCTAGGTGTAAACTATACGGAAGCACAACTCTATGCTTCTTAAATAAAAACAGAGAAATGATTTAATGAAAAAAAATGGATGCCTGTGAGGTCAAAATCCCAGCTCTGCAATTTACTAACCATAAGCCTATTTCCTAACTTCTCTCAATCTCCATTTCCTCATCTGTAAAGTGTGAAGAGTAATATATACTTAAGTTTATTGTCAAGGTTAATGTAAGATATATTAAATATTAAAATTTAAATTAAATTTAAATTAATTTTTAATTAATAAAATTATTACACATTTGAAAGAAATAAACATAAGTACTTAAGCTGAAAATGAACTACAGTAATAATATTAGTGCAAATAATAGTTTTGTTACATTACATAAGAGTAAACCTTAGAATCAATGGCAAATATGCCATGGAAATTTAATTCTTAAAAAAAAACATACTAGATTTTTAAAAATAAGCAAGGAATTTGAAAACCTAAAGATTTTCTTATGTATTCAAATATATATAAACAGAGAGAGAGAGAGATTGATTTTAATACTCTATTAATAAACACTAGCCCTTTTACTCTACCTAGATGCTCCACTTTGTGAATTCTCTATCTGATGAAACTGGATGCATTAGACACTTGTAATTCATTCTTTAGTAATTGAGGGATGATTTGGATATATGACTCAATATCATTTGCCAGACAATATTCTTTAAATACATTATTCATGTGGTACTTATTATTTTGCAAACACTTCATAATATACAAGTGCACCTGCTATCTGCCATTCATCTTGCTCCTCTGTTCTGTCTCAATTATTTTGTCCCCATCAGACAAGATAATAATCATGAGAGAGAAAAGGTAAAAGTTTCTTGACTTATAATGGGCAAGTGAATGAAAAATGATAAGTTTAGATGAACTAATGAAACAAATTACAACAGGGAATTATAGGGAAAAGAATGAATAATTGTGATATGAAATATCTTTAAATATACCTGCTAATTAAAAATGATTTCTGCAGCTCCTAAACAATGTATTTTAGGATAACAGAGTAAGGTAAGAAACTAAATGACTAGATTAAACCCTCCTCCCACAAAAAACTTGGTTAAATTCATACGTGTGGATAATACTTTTAAAATATTTTATATGTAAGTGTAAAGATTTACATCACTCAAAATTGTCATCTTCCTGATTTTCTGGAATTGAAGGTTGCTTGAGAAGAATGAGCTATTGAAAACGTCAGAAAAATATACTTGTTAAATAGTTATTTTTGTTGAAACACGTTATTTTGTTGTAATGATATTTGCTATTTGAGCCATCCCTTTGGATGACTGGTAAACATCTTTCACTTAAAGTGTACAAATATAATGCATTAATCATTTCCCCGAACCTATCAGAACCTTTATTGTTTGGTGTTAGAATAATTCACAATGTAATTGAATTAATTTCCAAGTAATTTTAAATAATTTTAAACAACAGAAACTCTTTCTGCATACCCTTATCATCCCAAACTACTTCTACTTAAACTTGTGGACTTTGAGGGATTCTTAGAGAAATTCTTAGACTTCCTTCTTAACTGATGAACAGCCACCCAAATTAAGGTAATAGTATAAAAAACTTGGAAGTAGAATGAGTCCTGACGGTACCAAATGGACTTATGATAAAATATTTTCATCTGTGACATTTCTGACTATGTCACACTCTTTTGCTTAATATCCTTCCCTGCATCTGCATACTATGTGGAATCAAGTTCAAACTCTTTTGTTTGGCTATACGAGGCCTTTTTTGACCTAGATTTGGCTTATCTCTCCTCCCCATCTCCTACCACTTCCACAGTCACATCTATGGCTTGGGCAGTACTTAACTACTGGTGCTCCCTATGTGCCATGTTCTTCCTCGCTCCCATGTGTTGGTGGAGACCTTTAACCGGGAACTCCTTTCTGTTCTCTGCTCGTTGTTGAATACTCAGCCTAAGCACAATCCCTCTGGAGTCTAAGTCTATTTCCACATCATCCTTTATTACAGTACATTTTAAACTATTTCACAGGGTTGCAGATCAAATATGATAGTGAATGTAAAGAAAAATAAGAATTGAAAATATACATTTTTCATCAAATGTATAAAAGAGTATACAAAAATGTATAAAAAAACTCAAAAGAGTACTAAATGGGAATTATTATTGTAAAAAATAGGATTCATGTAATAATAGTACTTTTACCAGTATTTGAATAGAATTTCTCTTTAAGTAGAAGTTAAAATAATACTTATATGTAAGAAACAAGAAAATTAAATACAACTTTTCTGTTTTCTTGGCTTTGAACCAAGAAAATATTCTTGAAGTTATGATTCAGTCATAGGTCATTCTGATGAACTGTAACAGAAAAGTATTCTTTTACAAATTCCAAGGCCGAAATGAAGAACAAGAAGAAGACAAGTCAGTAAGCCATCTCTTTTTATTTCACATCACCCCATTTCTTGTGCATCTGTATTTCTTAGAAGTTTTGAATTCTGGGCATATCCTAAGCTATGCAAATAAAATAACATTCTCCTTTCTCTGTTTACCTGTTATTACATCATGTGATAATAGTCTCATGGAGTTTTATTAGATTGGGGTGCTATGTTTGGGATGATAGGACTTAAAAACAGATGTGGGGAAAAGGGAAGTTGTTCAATGAGTAGAGTTTCAAGAGGAAAACGTTCTGGAGATTTGTTGCACAACAATGTGAATGCAGTTGGCCCTTCATATCCACAGGTCCCACATCTGCAGATTCAATCCACTGTGGATTGAAAGGCCTACAATGGTTGTATCTGTACTGAACACGTACAGACTTGTTTTTTGGTCGTTATTCCCTAAACAATAGAGTACAACAACTATTTACATAGCTTTTACATTGTATTAGGTATTATAAGTAATCTAGAGATGATTTAAAGTATATGGGAGGATGTGTGTATGTTAGATGCAAATACTATGCCACTTTATATAAGAGACTTGAGCATCCTCAGAGTTTTAGTATCCACGAGGGTCCTGGAACCAATCCCCCATGGATACTGAGGGATGACTATATACCTAACACTACTGAATTGTATACTTAAAAATAGTTAAGGTGGTAAATTTTATGTTATGTGTTTTTTACCACAATTAAAATTTTAAAACAACAACAATAAAACACATGTGGCATACAAAATACTTCATTTTTCAGGGGCTTTAGGGGAACCTCAGTCATCTATGTACTTACAGCATGATGGTTAAGAGCACAACCCTCTGGAGCCAGACTGTCTAATTTCAAAACTTGGTCCTGCCACTTACTAGTTGTGGGACCATGGATAAGTCACTTAACCTCTCTGTGCCTCCATTTTTTCATCTGCAAAATGGAGATATTTAATAGAACCTTTTTCACACGGTAGTTGTAAGGATTAAAGAAGATAATATTTGTAAGCTGCTTAGACATTCCATAAAATAAATTCTCCAGAATAACTGAACTGGAGGGGTTATTCTCACCAAATTTAAAGGATATGTTTTAGACGATCTAACATAATATAGGCTATCTGGCAAACATGAAATCACTCTGGTGAGCAAAAGGAACCACCTGGAAGTGGTACTAATTCTCCAATGCAAATGAATGAGATCTGCATTACCGTTGATTTATAAAATGGTGTGACATCAGTTTTCTGATCCTGTGGACACAGCAAACAAATGGTAGTTTCTAATATAAGCCCCAAATCAAACATCCCAACAGGAGACCCTCTGAATTGCAAATTAAGTTGCCTCACACATGCCCCACTCCACACAGCCTACTTCAGTGTAGGTGGCTGCAGGACCCTATGTATTTAATGACTGATGATTCCCCCAGGCAAAGAGGGAGAAGGCCAGAGAGCACATGGTATTTCAGAGCAGAAGGGAGCCTGTGGATACAGGTGGAGGCACCAATCAAAACCAGCAGTGCCCAACCTAAATGCTTTACAGTTACTTGAAGGGGTTGCCATAACTTGCATTCATTCATTCAGTCCCGAGTATTTATTGAGCACCTATTACAGGACAGACTATGTCAAAGCCCTAAAGACACAGCAGTAAATGAGACATAATGTCTTTCAAAAGCTTACAGTCTAGTACATTAAGAACAAATAAATATTAACTAAAGATAAAACTCTAGCTTGGCTTTCAAATCAAATTGTATTTACCAAGCACAATTCATACGTTAACCTTTTTATTTTTTTATTGTATTTCAAGATGGTATGGCATTTGATGATAATTTTAAGAAACATTGCAATTTAGGATTTAAAATGGAAATAGCAACAGACCTCCAGATGTAGTGTTGACATAATAACACTTTTTTATCACTTGCCCTCATTTCAGCTTAATAAGCTCTCTTGGCTCTCATCTTTCAATGTTTAATCCAAAGCAATTAAACTGATATGCAAATGCCATCTCCATTGCTTTAAGAGTGACACTTAACACACCATTTCATTATAATAGGCAACTGGAATGTTGGTAGAATGATCAGCTCATTTTTATTTTTAAAATATGTGCTTTTCTTGCAATGTATGCTTATAAATAAAATGTCCACACACACATTTTATTTGATAAATGGCATGTGGATAATATTTGTCTTGTATACTGAACACAAAGTCCATACCATGTGATATTTGTATTGAAAAGCCTACTATTCTTTTGCGCAGTCTCTACAGAAATGAATATTTTAGTTAATGAGGTGTATTAGCAAAAAGTACAAGATGAGCAGAAAATGAACAAAGTGTGGGGCTGTGTGTATGTGTTTAAGGCAGTCTGTCTTTTAGGATTGAATTCTAAGTAGAGAATCAGAAGGTTATAGTGGAAATGTCAGATACACTTTAGGAGAATAGATTCAATTAGTTAAGCTTG